TTAGGGTTTAGGTTTTAGGTTTTAGGGTTTGGGGTTCAAGGTTTAAGGTTTCAATCATGGCCGGGATCTCAAGGCAACCACGAACCAGTTGCATTCTTCCAAGGTAACCCTAATTAAACCCTAAACCATAAACCCTCTCTATCACATGTCTATTTACATGTTATTAACTTTCCGGGTCCTCTCGGGACCAATGTTGTTAGCTTTCCCGGACCCTGGGGGACCAATGTTATTAGCTTTCCGGGCCCTGGACGACCAATGTTATTAGCTTTCTGGGCGCTGGAAGACCAATGTCATTAGCTTTCCAATGTTATTAGCTTTGCGGAGCAGGCTTTCCGGGCCCTGGGGGGGCCAATGTTATTAGCTTTGCGCCCTGGCGGACCAATATTGTTAGCTTTCCGGACCAATATTCGCTTTCCTGGCCCTGGGGGACCAATGCTCCGGCTGAGGGGGGGGGTTAAAGGAATGGTGAGCAATTGAAATGTAAATGGTTCATGAAGACCCCTCATTGTCTTCATGTTGTCGGATTCTTTGGGCGGGTCCGAGTGAAAATTCTCGATCCGGAGCTGCTGAACCCTAAACCTCAAACCCTAAACCCTAACCCCTAAACCCTGAGCCCTGAACCCTAAACCCTAAACCCTGAGCCCTGAACCCTAAACCCTAAACCCTACCAGCACAAAGAATCCGAGCTCCGGCGCCTCCTTCCGAAAGGCCTGGCCCCCCTCCAGGGCCGGCCATGCCTGGGCAAAGCGCACCCCGGTTTGGGCCCTCAGCTCCACCAGGCCGGGCCCCGCCGCGCGCAGGGAGACGGCGACCTCTGTTTAGGGTTTACGGTTTAGGGTCTAGAGTCTATAGGGTTTAGGTTTAGGGTTTAGGGTTTGGGGTTGAGGGTTGAGGGTTGAGGGTTGAGGGTTGAGGGTTGAGGGTTGAGGGTTTAGGGTTGAGGGTTGAGGGTTGAGGGTTGAGGGTTTAGGGTTTAGGGTTTAGGGTGTAGGGTTCAGGGTTTAGGGTTTAGGGTTTGCTGCTCGAAAGCTTCGTGAGGAGCGAAGAGCAGCTCTGGCCCAGATTGCAGAGGGCCAACTAACACCTTTCTCCCACCCCACGCCGTCCGAGGCGGCAAAGCCACCCAAACCTACTCCTTTTAGGTATTTGGGTTCCTGGTGAGTCCTTATTTAAAACCCACAAACCCTAAAACCCTGAACCCCAAGCCCTAAGCCCTAAGCCCTAAGCCCTAAACCCTAAACCCTAAACCCTAAACCCTAAGCCCTAAACCCTAAACCCTAAGCCCTAAACCCCACGGGCTCTCTGGCGAGAGTCACTGCCATTCTCCAAAGCGATACTCTCCAGGATGAGGGAGGGCCGGACTGCCACCGCCTCGCTCACTATGATGTTACAGGGTTTGGGTTTATTGTTGGGGTTTGGGGTTTAGGGTTTAGGGTTTAGGGTTTAGGGTTTAGGGCTTAGGGTTTAGGGTTTAGGGTTTAGGGTTTAGGGTTTAGGGTTTAGGGTTTGGAGTTTAGGGTTTAGGCTTCTGGGCCACTTTTAAAGATCCCTTACTTAGGAATAGTGTGAAGCCCCGTCTGAATCTCGCTCTTCCTGCCTCCTCCTCTGGCGCAATGATGTAGAAACATGTGTACGTATGCTCTTGGTGCTCAGGGACGATGCTTCAAGAATGTGGTTCAAACGAGTCCCAAACCCTAAACCCCAAACCCTAAACCCTAAACCCTAAACCCCAAAACCTAAACCCTAAACCCCTTGAAAACTTTTGCTGCTGGGACGAAGAGCCCACCCTACATCCCTGAAAGCGCCCTAGACCCCCTTTGACCCCTGGAACTCCTATCCCTAAACCCTAAACCCCTAAACCCCTAAACCGAAGCCCTAAACCCGAAACCCTAACCACTAGACTAGACCCCTGCTCAAAGTCCTATCACTCTCTGAAACGCACGCTGCTGCTACTCCCAGCCTGCTTGGAGGTGCCCAGCGACACGGGAATGTCGTTCCGCCCAGACTCCTCCCAAGAAGCTGGGAGCTTCTTGCTGGGGCCGGGAAGTTTAGGGCCTGTGGCTTGAGGTTTAGGATATTTCTGACCTGGGCTTTGGCTTTCAGAGATAAGGGCTTGGGGGGTCCCCAAATCGATTCGTCCTGGCAGGCGCACATTCGTCACTCGGTATTTTCGGCGAACGACTGAAACTTTTTTTCTGAAAGCCAGGAGACGAAGGTCATTAAACAACTCCTGTGCACGTTGCCACTTCGGCACATCATTGCCCGACTGCTCTTGAGGAAGGGTGGCCGTGCTGATCGTAAGCAGCTCATACAGGTATCGTGAAACCTTAAACCCATACACTCTAAACTCTAAACCCTCAACCACCTAAAACCCAAACTCGACTGTTGGCCTTAGAGGCTTGCATAGGGACCCTTCCCCAAACCCTCAGACTTTCCCCCCTCCCCCTTTTGAGTGCAACTTGCCTGTCCCTCGAAGCCTTAGCAGCCCCCAGACTCGCGAATAAACCCTAAACCCTAAACCCGAAACCCTAAACCCTAAACCCGAAACCCTAAACCCTAAACCCGAAGGCGGCCGACGCCTAGTGATACTCCTACTTAATACAGCAACACAACAGTTTAGGGCTTAGGGCTTAGGGTTGAGGGTTTAGGGTTTGGGGTTTAGGGTGTAGGGAAAGGCTTGGGGTTTAGGGTTTAGGGTTTAGGGTATTTAGGGTTTAGGGTTTAGGGTTTAGGGTTTAGGGTTTACGGTTTAGGGTTTACGGTTTAGGGTTTAGGTTTTAGGGTTGGCATGTGCCCCCTTATACTAAGAGCCCTTACTTGGGATTATCGCACCCCCTGTTATCATCCATTAAGGACTGTGAGCATAAGGGGGAACATCGCAACTCATACTGGGTATGACAACACAACACTGTTACTCGTAGCAGCAGTTAAATTGTAAGCGTCATAAGAGCAATAGCATTAACCCCTAAACCCTAAACCCTAAAGCCTAAACCCTAGCATTTACCAAACAAGGAGGACAACAAACAAACCCATGTAAGTCCCGGTGATAGCAATGGCAATGCAAAAAGGCAGAGGGTTTAGGGTTTAGGGTTTAGGGTTTAGGGTTTAGGGTTTAGGGTTTAGGGTTTAGGGTTTAGGGTTTAGGGTTTAGGGTTTAGGGTTTAGGGTTTAGGTTAGGGTTTAGGGTTTAGGGTTTAGGGTTTAGGGTTTAGGGTTTAGGGTTTAGGGTTTAGGGTTTAGGGTTTAGGGTTTAGGGTTTAGGGTTTAGGGTGTCAATGGTAATAGGCAGCAGGGCTGCAATACATTAAATATCACTAGTAGTGATGATCATCATCGCGATAAGGAATGACGTTGACAAGAAGCACAGACTCACAAAGACAAAGTAGGAAGTGCAGGTTAGGGGTCAATAGTTTGGGGTTTAGAGTTTCGGGTTTCGGGTTTAGGGTTTAGGGTTTAGGGTTTAGGGTTTAGGGTTTCGGGTTTAGGGTTTCGGGTTTCGGGTTTAGGGTTTAGGGTTCTTCCTATCTCCCCCAATTGCCCCCCCGTCCCGAGGCTGTCCTGTGAACTCACGGCTGCCGCCTCCGACTGGGGGGGTTTCCGAACATTTGGGGTCCCTTTAAAGGGGATTCCATTCTATTTGGGGTATAAAACGGGGTACCCTTTTTTTTGGGAATTTCCCACTTAACTGAATTCGGGAATACACCTTAAACTTTGTAGGGATCCTTTGTATGATTTAAGGTACATTCCTTCATTAAGGGGTTTTGGGCTCTCTGGGTAGCATCCGATGCTATGTAGCCAAGCAGCCATGACCTAAGGTGGTTTTTAAGTCTTGAGGCAACCTTTTTCTGATCAACAATAACAAGGTTTCAGATGAAGCAGAGATTCGAGAAGCTCTGACCTGTTGTCATTCGTACGGCGTTGATTGTCATTCTTGTCGCTATAGCCGTAATTGGTTTAATTATGGATCTATTTGTCATTGTCATCTGTCTCATCGGAGCTGCGGTTGAAACAATTCTTCTCAGCACTTTCAGCATTATCAATTTACCAGCTTCTTTCTTGTCATTCCTTTCAGTACTACCATTCGTATCAGTATCTTTCCCTCATCATCATACTTTGCTTCTTACCAGTACTATCACCGTTCTCAATCGTTCTCAGGATTATCATTATTATCACTACTGTCATTACTATCGATACTACCAATATTACGATGATAATCATGATATCCATTATCCTCGTTCTGTTCTTCACCACATTGTTCAGACTGCTTTGTTGGACAGAATCTGTCGGAAGAACGGCTCTGTTCACTCGAAAGACTTGCTGCAGCGCGCGATTTGTACAAGGCGGAACATCCCTAATAGGGATTATAGCACCCCCGATTATAATCCCTATTTACGGACTGTGGGTATCAGGGGGAACATCCCACATTCCTTAGTTTACCATCATTCTCTAACTCCTGGCTCCGCGTGGCCTGTCCATCGGTGACGCGCACAATCTGCTGCTGCGGCAAAGCCGGGAGGTCCACGGTGTCAGGTTCAGACAAGGCGCCGCCCATGGCCGAGTCGTTTAGGATTTTAGGGTTTTGGGTATTAGGGTTCAGGGGGAGTTTTCAAATTTTAGGGTTTAGGGTTTAGGGTTTAGGGTATCAGGGCTTAGGGGTAAACATTGGTACAGTGCACCCTATGTCAGCCAGCGAGCGCCATGTGAGGTGCTGCACATGTACGTGAGTCCGTAGTGGCACGGCTGGTTGCGCAGCAGGCTCATGCAAAGCGAAGCCATCAGGATGAACCTAACATTGTCCTCAAGACGCGGTCCTTCCTCTCAATTCGGGACCCTGCTTGGGCTCCAATTTTCTTACTATAGCTACCGGTAGGAGCCTAAACGCCTTGAAGCCTAAACCCTGTAGGGCAGGGCCCCCCAGCTCAGCCCAAAACAATTATCGCTCCAAGTAGGAACCCTCAAACCGCAATGCCCCCAAATCAGCTCAAAAAAGAGGTGCGGACCATCTTCGTCAGAAGGTTCTCCACCTGCTCGTCTGACAGCCGCTCGCCTTTCCAGTCCACAACAGTTCTCTGGTGAATTGAGGTACGTAGCCCCTAAGGTAGCCCCTAAGGTAGCCCCTAAGGTAGCCCCTAAGGCCCCTTTTTAGGGTTCCTCTGTGAGTCCCTTGTCCAGGGAAATTTTGGTAAACCCGAGACCCGAAGCCTGAGCAACCTTGCCCGGAGGCTCACGAGGGCATTTGTAACGTGCCCATGAGCCTCCAAGCAGGGTTTAGGGTTCCCCCGACCCGCGGCTGAAGACTCCCCGAGCCACAAGCTTGGAAGCCCTTAGCCTGAAACAACCAAACCCGAAACCCTGAACCCGAAACCCTAAACCCTAAACCCTAAACCCTAAACCCTAAACCCTAAACCCTAAACCCTAAACCCTAAACCCTAAACCCTAAACCCTAAACCCCAATCAAACCGTAACCCCGGAATTCTGAGCCTGAGCACGAAACCCAGTAAACCCTAAACCCTAAACCCCAGCAAGTTTAGAGTTTCGGGTTTAGGGTTTAGGGATTAAAGTTGAGGGTCTAGGGTGTAAAGTTCAGGGTTGAAGGCGTAAAGTTTACGGTCTAGGGTCTAAAGTTTAGGGTCTAGGGTTTCAAGTTTGGGGTTTAAGGTTAAGTTTAGGGTTTAGGGTTTAAAGTTTAAGATTTAAGCTTAAAGTTTAGGGTTTAGGGTTTAGGATAGCCTAAAAACCCCAGAGCCCTAAACCCTAAACCCTAAACCCTAAACCCTAAACCCTAAACCCTAAACCCTAAACTAAAGCCGGGCCTGACTTCTTCAGGATGCGGTCGCAGAAAGAAGACATCAGGGCCGCAAAGGAGAACTGCAGTGCAGGGCTCGTGGGGTTTTAGGGTTTAGGGCTTAGGGTTTAGGGTTTAGGGTTTAGGGTTTAGGGTTTAGGGTTCAGGGTTTAGGGTTTAGGGTTTAGGCCGGGTTTAGGGTTTAGGGTTCAGGGTTCAGGGTTTAGGGTTTAGGGTTTAGGCCGAGTTGAGGGTGGGTTTAGGGTTTAGGGTTCAGAGTTCAGGGTTCAGGGTTCAGGGTTCAGGGTTTAGGGTTTAGGGTTTAGGGTTTAGGGTTTAGGGTTTAGGGTGTAGGATGGAGGGTACAGGGTTCAGGGTTTAGGGTTCATAGGGTACAGGGTTTAGGATTCAGGTTTTAGGGTACAGGGTTTAGGGTTTAGGGTTTAGGGTTTCGGGTTTCGGGTTTAGGTTTCATAGGGTTCATAGGGTTTATGGTTTAGGGTTCAAACGGTACAGGCTTTAGGGTTCATGGCATAGGCTTAACTTTGTAGGGTTTGTAGGGTTTACGGGGTTTTTCGGGTTTGTAGGGTTTATGGGGTTTAGGTTTTAGGGTACAGGCTTTGGGGTTTACGGTTCATAGGATTTGCAGGGTTTGTGGGCTCCATGGGGTTTATGGGGTTTAAAGGGTCTATGGGTTTTCTAGGGTTTGCTAGGTTGTTAGGGTTGTTAGGGCTGTTAGGGTTGTTAGGGTTTAGGGGTCAGGCTTTAGGCTTTAGGGTTCAGGGGTTCATAAGATGTATATGGGGTTTAGGCTTTCAGATTTAAGGGTTACAGCGTTTACAGAGTTTACAGGGTTTATGGGGTTAGGGTTTATAGGGTCTGTAGGGTCTACAGGATTTATAGGGTTCGTAGGGCTTATAGGGTTGCCAGGGCATTTTCAGTTTTAAGGCTTACAGGGTTTACAGGGGGTTATAGGGGGTTATAGGGGTATAGGCTTTATGGGGTTTGCAGGGTGGAGGGTTTGTAGGGTTGAGGGTCTAGAGGGCTGAGGGTTTAGGGCTTTCAGGGTCTATAGAGTTGCGAGTATATGGGGTTGAGGGTTCATAAGGTTGAGGGTTTCGGGCTTATAGACCTACATGATCACCAGTATGGGCGTTTCATAACGGGAGCCCCACAAGGGACCATGATCCACAACAGCAGGGGGACAGATATCTGCTTTGCTTACGAGTTCTGAGTAGGGATTCAAGGAATGAGCTACCTTGTCTCCCCCTGCACAGGGGTTTCCCAAAATAACGCTTACCTAGGGTCCTTACATGTCCTCGTTTAGAGGACTCTGGGGTACATAAAGGATAACCTCATTGAAGGAGATGGCCCTATATCCCTTGAAGGGATGGCATTAGTCTCCGGGTTCCGTTAAGGCCTGCTGTGTTTTTGAATAAGAAGTAGGGTGTGGTGCTCGGGCTTTAGGGTCTAAGACTTCACAAGCTGGGGATTAGGGTGCAGAGCCTAGGGGTTAGGGTTTCGGATAGAGGCCATAGGGCTTGGCACATGTCAACAGCAGGAATGAGCGAAACGACTGGACGACTGAACGCAGCAAGGCCTTCCCAATGTCGCGGTTCACAAAGACTTCGAAGGCTGAGCAGGAGGGAAGAGGTAACGCGGCTACGGTTGCAGACTCGGCGAAGAGGTCTCGAGCTAGGGGTTCAGGGGTCAGGGCTCCAGTGTCAGAGGAGATGCGTAGAGAATGCAGGCTTCGTGTGTTCACGTTGCGCATGAGGCAGGCCTTCTTTGAGCGACTTTTGGAAAAGGGAGTCCTGTGAGAAGCACTCGTGCACGATTCCTGCGGCGAAGCGGAAGGCGTAGGAAACACAACCAGTGTGATGTAAAACAGCCAAAACATGCCCTAAACACCAAACCCTAAACCCTAAACCAGTCCTTTGAAGCGGTCATGCAGCTCCAGAAGAGTCTGGATGAAGGTTGGGTCCTTGGCCAAGCATGCTTCTCATGAGCCAAGCAAACGGGAATACAAAATGTACAAGGTCTATGAGAATACAAGAACAAAGTAAGTCTATACCAGCATGATCATAACATGTATTATAAATATATATATATATATATGTATCTATATATGTATACAATTTGTGTTTATTCATTCATGTATATGTTTTCCATACTAGAAAGAAAATCGAAAAAAAGAATACAATACTACAATACATGATACTCTTGTATAATGTTACGTGATGAACGAAGCATCTGTCATCATCTGTCCATAGGCCCCAGGCGTTCAAAGCCTCCGCCTTGGATGACACCTGGAGGGGTTTACGATGTTCGGGTTTGGGATTTAGGGTTTAGGGTTTGGGGTTTAGGGTTCAGGGTTTAGGGTTTGGGGTTTAGGGTTTAGGGTTCAGGGTCTAGGGGTCCTTGTTATAAGGGGATCCTACTATTTGGGGGTCGATACTAGATACTAGGGGTCCTTATTGTCGTAGATTCCCACCTGCTTCTGCTGCTCCACGCGCTCGTCGACGATCTGGTTCCCCCTGCGAGCAGGAAAAAAACACATCTTGAGGGGTTTAGGGGTATGATGGTGTTTGCGGATTCTTTGGGGCATTGTGGTTTTAGGGTTTTAGGGCTTTAGGGTTCTAGGGTTTTTAGAGTTTAGGGTTTTTGGGGCTTAGAGGTACTGATTCACATGCGGCAGAGTGTTTCCTTCTGCACCATCGATCCCGCCGTGCCCGCGTGGGGAGAGGGCCACTAGATGGGGGCGCAGTCCGAAGAACCATAAACCCTAAACCCTAAACCCTAAACCCTAAACCCTAAACCCTAAACCCTAACCCCTAAAGCAGCTTCGCCCCAGCCTATCAGTCACGTACTGGCGGAACGCCTGCGCGATGGGGTTCAAACCTCGGTCCATGCGCGCAGCCCAACCGTTTCTGGGTTTAGGGTCGAGGGTTGAGGGTTTAGGGTTTAGGGTTTAGGGTTTAGGGTTTAGGGTTTAGGGTTTAGGGTTTGGGATTAAATATTCTGGGGTGCTGAATATTAGGGGTACTTGTACCCCTAACTCAACAAACACACCCATTTCAAGCCCTTCCCCCCTCGACCGCACAAGATCCGCGAGCATCTGGCCATTCTCGACCAGGCTGAACATGCGGTGCATTCTTGCCAAATCCTCCGGCACTGCTCAGGGTCTAGGGCTTAGGGCTTAGGGTTTAGGGTTTGGGGTTTAGGGTTTAGGGTTTAGGGTTTAGGGTTTAGGGCAGGAAGTTGGCCTAAATTCTGGCTTCTGAGATTTTGCCTGCGGCGGATGATGCAGAGGTCCTACACCCCAAGCCTTGAAGTAAGTTCCAGGAACATCTCACATTGAGGCTAGCGTCCTAGCATTGTTTGAGGCACTCGATGCCTGGACAGTCGTCTCGTCACGACTCTAGACATTCTGCTCTTGCTTCGCATCTCCCTTAATTGTGATCCCTGCCACCCTTATATACCCAGTATATACCCGACACAAAACAAGGGCCGATACTTCAGTCCTTTAAGGATGGTAAGGGACCATATTTAGGGCCTCAAACCCTAAACCTTAAACCCTACAGCCCACTTCCATTTGATCCCTGGCCCGTCTCAAGAGTGAGAGAAGCCCGAAGCTTGCAAGGGCTGACCTCTCGCTTGTCGTTGTCCAAAAGGTACACGACGCCTGTCTCTTTCTCCTGGGACAGCAGCGCCAGGTTTAGGGCTTAGGGTCTAGGGTCTAGGGTTTAGGGTTTAGGGTTTAGGGTTTAGGGTTTAGGGTTTAGGGTTTAGGGTTTAGGGTTTAGGGTTTAGGGTTTAGGGTTTAGGGTTTAGGGCCGAGGCTTGCCAGAACAGACGAATCTAGGGCAGGGACGAGCAACTGGCCCTGTGGCTGCGACAGGACTGCCAGGATCACTACCTTGGCTGACCAACCCTAAACCCTGAACCCTGAACCCTGAACCCTAAACCCTAAACCCTAAACCCTAAACCCTAAACCCTAAACCCTAAACCCTAGACCCTAAACCCTAAACCCTAAACCCTAAACCCTAAACCCTAAACCCTAACCCTAAACCCTAAACCCCCAAACCCCTAAGCCCTAAACTTTCCTTGGCCGGCAGAGTCATCAGTGAACACTGAGGCATTGGCATTTCGCAGCTTGGGAAGAGTTGTCCTGCAGGTCTGAGCCACGCGGTTTCAGAACGCTTAGGGTTGCGAGCTTAGGTCTTAGGGTTTAGGGTTTAGGGTTTAGGGTTTATATACGGCTTAGGGTTTAGGGCTTAGAGCACCCGAACCAGGGTGCAGGGTGCTCTTGTGGAGGGATTCTTTTGGGAAAGATCTCGACTGAGGGCCGTGGAATCTCGCCCTAAACGTGCATGCGGATGAACCCCAAGAAAGCCGACACCCTGAACAGTCGTCAACGGATCACACTATGAAATCCCAGTTGTGCGAAAACGCCAGACTCCGGATAGTCAACCAAACCCTAAACCCTAAACCCTGAACCCTGAACCCTAAAGCCTAAACCCTACTACACCCTGAACCCTCAACCCTAAACCCCACAACCCTCAACCCTCAACTCTAAACCCTAAACCCTCAACCCTCAACCCTAAACCCTGAACCCTAAACCCTCTCCTGCTCAGGTAGTTGTGGCAGCGCTGGTCCTCGGCGTGCAGCGCTGCCTCGCGTCGCAGGAGCCCTCTTAAGTTCAGGAGCATCTCGGTTTGGGGTTTAGGGTTTAGGGTTTGGGGTTTAGGGTTTAGGGTTTAGGGTTTAGGGTTTAGGGTTTAGGGTTTAGGGGTTAGGGTTTACGGTTTAGGGGTTAGGGTTTAGGGGTTAGGGTTTAGGGTTTAGGGTTTAGGGTTTAGGCGGTTTAGGGTTTAGGCGGTTTAGGGTTTAGGCGGTTTAGGGTTCAGGGTTCAGGGTTCAGGGCTTGGGACATGAAGAGAGCAAGGCGCGCATTTCTTACCTCTAGAGGCGGAGAGCAGCTTGGCAAACTCAACCTCCCAGCCAAGGATTTCTGAGCTAAGGTGTAGAGCTTCAACATGAGTAGGATTTAGGAGTGTTCGGGACTAGGGTTTAGGGTTTAGGGTTTAGGGTTTAGGGTTTAGGGTTTAGGGTTTAGGGTTTAGGGTTTAGGGTTTAGGGTTTAGGGTTTAGGGTAGGGCTGAGCACCGGCGGTGCGCTGCAGCCTCTTGCACAGGTACTCTAAACGCCTAAAAACCCTAAACCCTAAACCTTACACCCTAGACCCAGTTTGGTCAGGGATGCCTCGGCTTTCCGCAGGTACTCTGGGAAGGAATCCTCCGACAGCCAGCCTGGGCCACGTGCTCTCAAAAGCTCCGACTTCAGTTCCAAAGCAGGAGTCATAATCGTCATCTTAGTAAGAGCGGTAAAGAAAGTAGTAGCCCGAGACCCCCAGCTTTAAACCCTACATGTGGAGAAGGGGGGGGAGGGGGTGGGGAGGTTGTTGCTCCAACCGTCTAAATCAAGCTCCTATGTTCTGGGCCCTTGCTGTCTTAGAGCGACCTCGCAGTGCCTCTAAGGCAGAAACCTCCCCAAAGGTTGCTTTCTCAGGCCCCGTCCTGAGGCTTGTCGGACGAAGTAGCTGCTAGTAGCCGGCAGAAAAGCTTCCTGCCAAGGCGTGCGCTGGCGGGAACGATACTTCTGGCGGCAGTGAGCTTGCAGGTCCCTGAGCTGCTTTCTCAAGGCCTCGAATTCGGTGTTGTATAGGTTCGAGCTGTTAAGACCAAGGTCAATGAAGATCTCAATGACGCCTGGCGCCGCACAAGAGCACAAAGCAATCAACTCATATGCCCTCTATGAATCCCCCCGGAAGGGATTCAAAAAAAAATCCTCCCTACTAACCCAACAAAGGGCCCGAAAGAAGAGCGCTGACAACCCAACCAACCCTGCAGCCTTTGACAAGATCCTGGTCGATGTGCTCGCCTCAGGCGGTTTTTGGGGTTTAGGGTTGAGGGTTTAGGGTTTAGGGTTTAGGGTTTAGGGTTTAGGGTTTAGGGTTTAGGGTTTAGGGTTTAGGGTTTAGGGTTCAGGCTTAGGGTTCTTTCCCAGGGTAGGTATATTCGAGGGTCCCCTATTTGGGGAAACCCATACGAGGCGTCCGCGGCGTTGTGCTGAGCCAAAATGGCACACTAAGTACTCCTCATAGTTGAGAGTCACAGGGCACATGCTTCATGAAAACGACCCCAAAGACCCTCCTGAAAGCAGCCGGGAGTGTGTATGCGGCCATCGCGATGGTGCTCCTAATTAACCAACGTCTCGGCGCCTTGTCGCTCCTGATTGATGACCTTCAGCAGCGCTGATCGCGTATCCTTGATGACACTGGTGAAAACCTGGCGGAACAAGCACGCTAGGACTCAACAGCTTGCAGCTAGCCGCTGTGATCAGGGCTGCTCCCTTTCTAGACCTCAAGCAGCGAGACCATTCGAGACTAAGGTGTCGAAGCCTCCCGAAGCTGTCGCTACACCGGCCTGCTGGTTGAAGATGCTGTAGCCCCTGTTGTGCAGCGGCTCAACTGATTGGAGCTTGACGTAGTACCGATCCTGGCAGAAGCCGCAGGCAGCGCCCGACTCGCGGACGCACACAACGCCACCATGTGCTGCTCCATACTATACTCCCCTTAGAACCTTCATAAAAATAATATTGTTAATATCCTCTTGGGTTTTATGTAAACAAACATAATACCCAAGGGGGGATATAGCATAAGCTCCGTGGCCATGACTGGTATGCAAAAAACCCAGAGGGCGCACCAGGTAGGTGAAGAATCTGTCCATCCACTTCACGTAGATCTTGTGGTTGACCCACCTTTTCTCCACTCAAAAGACAAGGATACATGGAGTGCGAAGCCCAACCCTAAACCCTAAACCCGACACCCTAAACCGTAAACCCTTAACCGTAAGAGCAGACCGGGCCTGTGCAGCAGCTCCTTCATCAAGGGGATGTCTGTCTTATCTTTCAGTGCTGGCAGGACCTGGCCACAGCTGTCAGGTGCGCGATGGAAGACCGCGTACCCTTCTGCAGACGCGCTCGGATTTAGGGCTGAGGGTTTCTGATCTTCGGAACAACAGCAAAGCGAACTTGTCTGACTTTGTCAACGGAGGTTGGCGCAAAAGCCTCAAATCCCAAAACTCTGCTGAAAGAGGTCAGACAGCAGGTTGGCATCCCTACTCCTGCCGTGGAACTGTGGAACCCGAAACCTTGCATGACATGGGCAATTCACCAAATAGGAGGCCCCCCGCAATGTACCCCAAATGTTATCATCCTGTAGGGGTTGGGGGGGGGGGGGGGGGGGGGGGGGGTGCTGATCTAGAATGAATGGCCCTTTGTTGGGTCTCTGTTGTCATCAACTCCCTTTTTGGTTAGAGCATCCCAACCGGGCCATACATGGGGCCAAACAGGGGTACTCCTTTTATACCCCAAATAGACTGCAACCCCATTAAAGGGGCCCCCAACAAGGGTTCGGAAACCCCCACATTTTGTAGTCCTCCCACCTGGCGCTGGACGTAGTCCGACATCGCTTCTCCATACCGCCGGTACAGCTGCTCTGACCTGGCACGCTACAATTTTTGTATGGGGTATCAAGGCGTTGGGTTACAAACCTGTGTAGAAAATGAGATATTGCCTCTGGTTTCTGTGCACAGATATAGATATATGAATATACATATATATATATATATAGAAAGAGAGGTGGATATGTATGTATATATACATATATACATATTCCCTCCAGTGGTGCGGTTGTTAACACACCGAACCTTGACCGGATGGTTGATTTCTGTGCATGTGCTGCGCTGGAGAGGTGGTGGAAGGAGAACCCGGAACAAGAGCCGGGCAACTGCGACAACTCCTTGGCGCGGACATGTACAACGATAAACCTGGGGATGAAGGAGCAAAGCATCGGATGCTTGGCCATTATCTCGGTGCTCAACGTCGTCGCCGCTGCAATGGCCACGGGCAAGGATGCCGTGCAACATTTTGGATTGCCATCGGCAGTACTCGCCCATGCTGCTCCAGCCACGCCGGATAGACCTCCTCCAGGGGTCGTCCCCGTGTCGTTGTGCAGCAGTGGGTGGTTCGAGTGGCCAGTGTTCACCCGGGTGGGCCACGAACAGGGTTTCAGGCAGTTGGCTGTCTCCAAGCCCCAAAAAAGTGTAGCACCAATGATGGTTTCGACCGGCTTGGTCACACAGCTTTTCGTCAAGTTTTCTGGCTTCGGGAATGCCCCAAGTATATGTGTTTTGGGGTTCCTCGGCATCTTCTCTGCATGTACCTCTTGCTGGAGCTGCAACTACGGCGAGCCTTCCGAAGTGAGCGAACACCTCATGCCGACCCTGGAGCAGTCATGTCACGTGAAGAACCTTGATGCGACCCTTTGAGACCTGAGCCTCAGGGCCGCACATTCAGTCGTGTGTTCTCCCTGTCGCTGCATGCTTGAAGTTTGTTGTGTCGGCCGCTACAGCAGGCAACATGTGTGTCTTAGTTTTCCTGCCGCAAGCTGCCGGCATCAACTTGTTCTCACTAGCTCAGACAGGCTGGTGCTCATGATAATGCCCCGCCGGCTGAGGGCGTACCCCTTAGCCCTCTTTGATGCGTGTGGCTGGTGGACTGTCGGCCATCCAGGACGGTGCTCTCTGCACTATGGACGATTCGGGCGTGCTGCACTGCTCGCGCTGTGCAAATGCCTCTGACCGCGTGATATACATATATATATATATACCCATTGACCAACCTCGGCCTGTATGTCTGATGAATAATATGACTCATGCGCGATAAAAGGGGGTAAAGCCATACTTGCTAAGCATCGCTAAACAGCACGAAAATCCAAAAAAAACAACATGCAACCCCAAAATCCACGAAACCGGGAAGAAGCTCCGGGATTTTGGGATTCTTGTCTGGCTTTGACAAGTATTTTCACGTTCGAGGTTAGTTCGAATGCATTCTCCGTTCTTCCAAGCACAAAAATGCCAATAAAAGCACAAACCATTGTAAAATATGTAAAGATAGCACAAATAAGTCGCAAATTGATTCATTTCGCGGTTGGTCCATTAAAGGGAGGGAGCAAAGATACGTATGTAGATTGTAATGTATTGTAATGATGCAGTCATGATGATTCATACACATCGAAATTTTGGTTCGCAAGGCCATGAGGGGTCGGTGGTTGCGTGCACCCCTTCATCAAGGAAAGCGACATATGCGCATGACCGGCGTCCACTCTGCTTGGACAAGGCGTGCTTGGATGAACATCGCACAAGTTTAGAGTTTAGGGTTTAGAGTTCGGGGTTTTGGGTTTAGGATTTAGGGAACAACAGCCACAACTTTACAAGTCTTCGCCCGGGTGCACCAGTTGTTTGGCGTTCGCTGGGTGCACATATTGTACACTGTCCTCATGAAACGGACAACTTGCGTCGATGCATCGTTAATCTGACCGTTCCCCCAGCTGCTCACTCAGGGGCGGACGTATACAGTTCTGCATAGTTGGCTTTGCTGAAGACATTGCGCGGCTTCTGAGGGTCAGTGTTCTGCGGCACCTTGGAAGCAAAAACACCTGTGAAACTCCAGATGCATCCGATATGCATTCAAGGGCTCCACTGTTGATCTTATATGTCCAGTGTCCAGAAATTCTTCTAGCACCTGGCCGGGATGTGACACAGCTTCGCGTACATGCCAGGTTCCGCTGAGCACTAGAAACCCGACCAGCGGCAGCAGCAGCAGCAGCAGAGACCTTGGCAACCTGCGATACTCGCTCATGGGCCTTGATCCCTTCATTCTTGATCTTTTCCCACCCGTCCTCGACGCCGTGCAAGAGTCACGAGGAAACAACATGGAAACAAGCAAACAAGTACTCCCCTCGAAACCAGGACCTCCAGTGGGACGATGCTGCCTGTCGCCCTCGGTGGCATACAAGGATGATCACAGGGCGCCTAACCTACTCGCAATGGCCCCCCCATTTTTGGTCATCTTCAAGCACTGCAAGACCTGAGCGCCTTGCATGTCGTCCCCCCTCGCGGCCCTGGAGCCCCGTGACCACTAAAGTTGCAACAAACAAGACAAGACTACTACAACTACGCAACTTGAGCCGGAGTCGGAGGAAAAGGATTTACGTTTAGGGTTTAGGGTTGAGGGTTGAGGGTGAGGGTTGAGGGTTGAGGGTTGAGGGTTGAGGGTTGAGGGTTGAGGGTTGAGGGTTGAGGGTTGAGGGTTGAGGGTTGAGGGTTGAGGGTTTAGGGTTTAGGGTTTAAGGAGAAGTCAGGAATTCCTGCAAACCTCCACCAACAAAGCTCACACAGCCGCGGGACATCCCGCACGGATGTTCCCCCTTAGAATACGAGCAGTTCTTAAAATAGGGAGTATAGTACCCCCTATTGACTTCCCTACCAAGGACTGTTAGTATAAGGGAGAACATCCCAAGCCCCTCGTTTCCAATTCTGCCGGCGGATTCGATGTCACATGCAGCTCAGGGCATGCCAAGGGTCGGCGGTGCCTGGCAAAGTATTCCCACCCTCCATGACACTAGGGTAGGTTTGGGGGGCCTTAGAATAAGCAAATGTTTATGGCCTTTTAAGGAAAGTAGAGGGGATCAAACAATAATCATGCTCAAACATACTCCTGATGAGATGCTCCGAATGCCCGTCAGCTTTTATGTCGGTCTTTACCTTGGGCCCTCCTGCTCCCGTCCCTGGTCCACCTGGCCACCACGCAACTTCTGTAATGAGAGTGGCCGGGGCTGTACAAGGTGGGAGCAGCCACTACCGGCTGCCCCGACACTGTAAAGGACGGCACCGCAGGCAATCCTCCCGCGATCTCCTGCATAGTTGCAGGATCGAAGGAGGTCGTCAGGCTGCTATATGCCTGCCGGCCCCAAAACTGAAAAGATGGATCTTTGAAACCCCGTGACTGCACGGGTTGTCCGCAGGCAACCGACCACCCCGCCGGCGAGTTCCTAGACCCAGCCAGGCTTCCGGTACCTTCGGCTCGGCTTCCGGGGGCCTTCTAAACGCCCCTCCGCGGTGCGCGCGCTGCGCGCACCTGGGCTTCCTCTCAGACGCCCCTCAGAGGCCCAGGGCCTGGCTGAAGGCTGTGACGATGGGGGAGCCATTGGGGAAGTCATCCTCGGGAAGATCCCAAAGGAGGCCTCCAATCAGGCCCTTCTCCTTGATGTAATCTGCCTTGCATCGCACGCTTTCCTCATCATCGAAGCCCATCCAGAGATCACCCTGCTGAAGGTAGGCCCCGCAGCGGGCCGAATCATAGTGCTTCTCAGCTCCTTGGCTAATAAGAGTCAGGATCTCATAGTAGCTCGCAAGCCCCACTTGCTTGCTGATGGCCTGGGTGGCTCCATACCCCTGCCCTGCTGCGCCAGGGCCCTGACCGGGCGTGCTGCTCTGCAGCTGGAAGCTGCGGCTGTAGGTCACAAGGCCCAGCGCCAGCTTGCTGACACCTGAGACACAGGACACGGACACACGCTGCATGAAACAACCCTACTTTTTGTAATACTTAATGTGTACATGCCCATCGCTTTGCCCAATATCGCCGCTGGCGCTCACGATCCGCCATGAGCAAATAAAACGCAAGAAAGAACAAAAAGAACATGCAGGCGAAAATAGAAGAGAGCTTTACAAAGAAGCTAAGACTGGCACTGGCGCCCCGGGCAATCCAGTCGTTGACTGCGTACTCACCACTCAAGGGAACTCCATCCCCAAAGGAGTCCCCTGGGCCTGCGTAAAGCTGGCTGTGAATGGCAGTCTTCTCCGGGCTCCAGCCTCCGTACATGTCGTAGGTCATCAAGTTAATGAAGTCCAAGTTCTCATTGAGAGCCGGGACGTCATATGCGTTGTCGGCGGTGCTGGGTCCAATGCCGACCGCGGCGGTCAAAAGCAGCGGCGTCCTGCCCGAGCTTGTGCCCTCTGCATCGAAGGCAGCTCGAAGCTGCCTCAGCAGCGTTGCAAAGTTGGCCTTGTCCGTAGCACGGCCACCACGGCCAATGAAGCCTGGGTACTCCCAGTCAAGGTCAAGGCCATCAAAGCCCCAGGTCCGGCAGAAATCGATGGCAGAGTCCACGAACTTCTGGCGGTTCTCGCCCGTGCTCACCATGTCCGAGAAGACGTACTCCGTCCAGCCGGCATCGAGGCGCGACATGCGGCGCGCGCTCTCCGCATCCTCGCTGGCCGGCAGGTTGAAGGACCAGCCGCCGATGGAGATCAGCGTCTTCAGGTGCGGATGGGTTGCCTGAAAACACAGAGAAAACAACAGAGAACTTTCCTTCTTTGGACCTGGTTTCCTTATTTCTTCCTCCTGAAAGCCTCGGCACAAGACGCACGGACAACACACACTTTTGAGAGCTTTCTTCAGGCCTTGAGGTCGTTCACCTGCTCGTAGAGGCCCTTGGTACAACCGGCAGCCTGCTGGCTGCAGGGGACCTGCCAGTTGCCGGTGCCCCAGTTGCTGACGTCGTTGTCCTCAAAGTGACGGATCTGGAAGGTGCTGCTGTGGATCATGGCAAAGGCGTAGTTGAGATGCGTGATCTTCTCGGCGGCGATGTCCGATGGCATGAACTTGTAGGGAGCAGGCCACCACTGAAACCAGTTTGCAAAGTAGGCCACGAAGATCTTGCCACTCGGGCCCGGCGTCGTCGCCGGAGCTGTGGATCCCACTGCTGATGTGGAACTTGTGGAACTGGCGGAGCTTGTGGAGCTTGTGGAGCTAGGGGCCGCCGTGGTCGATGAGGTGGTCGAGCTACTGGAGCCGGGAGGCGCTGTGGTGCCAGCCGTGGTGGACGTCTCCGTCACCTCGCTGCACGGAACGTTCGCGCGCCAGTCGCAGTTCTTGAGATCGGCGCTGAAGCGCTGGCCCTGCGCGCAAAGCTGCATGGGCTCGTCTCCGCGGAAGCAGTTGAAATAGCCCCTGCAATCCTCATTGCCCGCCATGTTAACCGGGGCCGCATAAAGACCAACCTTCCCAATGCAGAAGTCGGACGGGTCGATTGATGAGCCGCCTGTTGTTGTGACGGGAGGTGCCGTTGTGGCCTGCACAGTCGTCACCATCGTCACGGTCGTCGTCACACCTGGACCCTCGGTTGTAACGACGTCGCAAGCCACGTTGGCCTCCCAGTCACAGTTCATGGTCGTCGGGCTGAAGCGCAAGCCGGAGCCGCAAAGCTGCATGGCTTCATTGCCGTGGAAGCAGTTGTAAAAGCCCCGGCAGTTAATGTTGCCCTCCGCCCCTGCCGGTGCAGCATAAAGGCCAGTCTTGCCTTGACAGAACTCGTCTCGGACCGAAGCTTTCTGACTCAGCAACCGCCTGTACTGCACGAAGCCTGCGCCCGCCGTGCACGAGCTGCCTCGACAAGGCTCCTGCAACTCGGGCGACTCCAGCTGCTCTGCCAGAGACACCACACCAAGAGCAGGAAGGAGCAAACGCAGCATCGGTCTGGAGTACAGATCAGCACGGAAGTTACAAAGACCTCAAATGGCTCTGAGCCAAGATCTGAGTCCATCGGCGAGCTCGTGAACTCTGCTCAATCACTGCAGTGAAGTCCTGACACAAAAGCCGGCAATGGCCTGCTGACCCTGGTCTTCTCGTAGGCGGAGGGGAGACACATGCACCTGTGCAGCAGCTACCAGCATGTGCGACAAACGTCAGGGAGCGAATATGCAAGGTAAGCTAATGAGGATGCAACATGATTCAGCTTGCCAAGGAAGACAGCTGAGGGGCCTGCCGGGCAGTTTCGAGACGCCCGCCGCCAAAAAAATAACCCCAGGGCCAGTCCGGCACACATGCAAGAGAAGCGTCGTGTACCGTCGCTCACACACGAACACACACCAACCAAAACAGGCTTTTGCCTCACTCCTTGTGCAGACCGTTTAGCAGAGAGGCATGGGTCTTCGAAGTCTTCGAAGCGCTGCATTTTTTCAAACTGACAATACTGGAGTGTCGGTCCTGATCCTTGAGACAGCTACCCTTCCTTCATGGTGTGCCAACGGTGGCTGCTGTTTCGGATAGCTCTCAAACTGCAAAGGCAATCCCCAAAGTCTCGCAGAAATCCGTCATTTGCAAGGCGCGCTTTCTGGGGCTCCACAACAGACTTGCTGCTTGCGTGTGCCCAAGTTTCCAACCTGCTGCGTCCGTCTTCCTACAGAGCCCAGCCGCGCATGCCATTTCCGGCCCACACTTCCCAGTACATCCCTCCAATCCCAACACTCACAACCAATACGTAGGGGCATTGCACAAGTGTGTGCTCCTAGCGACATCATGCGCGCCCGCCACTAGCGGGCACCAGCGGAGAAGAAAACCCAGCCGGCGAAGGTGCACCCCACAGCAACGGAAAGCAAAAGATGCCATGTCGCCCAAGTCCAAACGAGGCTATGTTCCTTTGAATGGATGGAGCTCACCCTTTTTGGAGTGGCCGTGGCCTCTTCTCTGGCAGGGGCAGATACCCACGTCGAGCACCCTCAAGATCCGTTGCCACTCTTGGGCAGCATCCGACCCTGGCAGAAATGGCAACTTGCAGTATTATGGTATTATAGCTTGATAGTTTATAGTAGTATAGTAGTATGGTATTATGGCATTATAGTATTACAGTATCATAGTATTACATGCACATCAATCGTAATCCGCCGAGGCCTCGGGCCGAAGGTGTATTGGTAGTCAGAACAGGCACCCCCCTCCAAATCCTCCTCCCAGGCCCAAAGCCCTTTTTCGGACCCCTTTTTTTGCCTCAAATGGGTACCCCCCCTAGGTGAGCAGGGTCCGCAAGCGGATGGTTCGCCAGGACCAGAGGCAGTTGCAGCCCTTCCCAGCAGGGCCCCCCTTTTTCACCGCCCCCCCCCCCCCCTACCCCCCCCCCTACCCCCCCCCCCCCCTCCCCCCCCCCTACCCGACCCCCCCTCCCCACCCCCCCCACATAGTCCCTCCCCCCAAAAGCCACATGAGCGGCTGGGCTCGAGGTGCTAATGGACGCAACAAGAGGTCGCTTTTCAAGTGTTCCCATCGTTTTACAGGGTTTTCCCCTTGCTTAATTGAATGGCTGGGGGTTTTGGCGCTTGCTCACATAAGGTGTTTGTGAAAGGCGGAGTTTTCCTGCTCCGACGCGCTGGCTTGAGGGCCGGAGGCTCACTGGTGTGAGCACGGCCGCAAATCCGCCGAGGCCCCCCTTTTTTGCCTCAAATGGGTACCCCCCTGGGAAACCGGGGTCCGCAAGCGGACGGTTCGCCAAAACCAGAGGCAGTTGAAGCCCTCCCAGCGGGCCCCCCCCCCCCTTTCCCCCCCCCCCCCCCCCCCCACCCTCCCCCCACCTCGCCCCCCGGTTTTCGAGGCTCAACTCCGGGGACGAAGAGTAACCGAAACCCGAAACCTTCAATCTTAGCTCCCCCCCCCTTTCCCCTCTGCCCCCCTTCCCCCTCCACCCCTACCCCCCCTGAGGGGCCTGGCTCAACCCTACGATCAATCCAAGCCGAACCGTCTCTTGAACCCTAAACCCAAAAAAACCCTAAACCCCAAAGCAAGAACCTTGAGCCCTAAGCCCTCAATCCTAAACTAACCCTCAACCCTAAACCCCAGACCATAAACCATAAACCCGGAACCCTAAACCCGACTTGGGCGCTGCGGAATCACCATGCTCACGCGGATGCGCTGGGCCGGGCCGAGGCGGGTCGCGTAGCGTTAAAATTAGGAAATGAGCGGGACTTTGCACTGAATCGAGCCGCGTGCGCTTTTTCCAGCTTGTCTGCGGCTGCTTGTCAACAAGCATGGATGTTCTGCATGCCGGGAGCCACTGCGTCCTTACAGGACAAAAGCCAGCATCACGACACATTCTCAAGGGGCGCTCCGCGCCCTATATGGCCGCACAGGATATACGCGTGTAAGCATCCTTATCAATCAAACAAGAGCTTTGTCGCGACACTCCGACGGCGCTCCGCACCTAAGGTCGCAAAAAGAGACAAGCTCATAAAGATCATGCAAGTTCTTCCGGGAACGGGCTGTCCAGAAGTAGTACCAGCTACAGATAGCTACAGCTACGTGCGCAGAAACCCTTGCCACAAGGATTCCCAGAAGAAGCTCTGCAACTTGGAACGCGAATTGAAACTCCAGCCTAGTGCAGCACGCGTGCCAATCGCACGGACGCGATCACACGGAAACGGCTTTCAAGGTGCATCATGCTTAGCAGATGCAACAAGGCTCACGAAGCCCAAAACAAACACATGGAGATGAGAGCGAGTCGAACATAGGTCGAAACACTCACAAACGATGTCCGGGGAACATTCACAGCGCAGTCCTGCTTGCTACGCCGTCCGAGAAACCCTCGCTCGTGCGTCGGTCACTGAAGGCTGCCGTGCCCGCACTTGTCTGCCGGTCACTGAGTCCTGTATCAGAGGGGTGCACAAGTCCGTCCGCCAGAGGACGCTCGGGCTTGAGAGAGTCCACACCAGCCTCCAGCTGATGTTCCATGGTGACCTGGGGAGAGATTTCGAGGTCCAGAGGCTCCGGTGTTGCCTCCTTTGACTCGTGGCCCGGTCCACAAAGCTTTTCAGGCGGCCCACTTTGAAAGAAGGACTTGTTCGCAGGCAAGTCCTCCAAGCCGTTTCTTTTAATGTACCGGTTCAGCACGAAGCGGAACACAAAGGGTGCGAAGATGGTGGCCCAGAGCAGAGCCTTACTGTCGGTTAGTAGGGAACGGGGGAGTAATGTACCACATATATATATATATATATATACATATAATCCTTTAAAGGGTATCTATAGGGGATATACGGTACCTTCTTCCCCCCCCATTCCCTCCGAACCCACAGCAAGAAGCCCATATCACGATGGAGAACATCTCCTCGTCGAGCATGTTGTTTGCTGCGGCCATCTGCGCAATCCTTACGCACTTGGGCCGTAGGGCATGGGGGTAAGAGGTACCCTATGGAGTCCCTTAAAGGGTAGTAATCTCTTCAAAGGCCCTTGGGTCGTAGGGCATGGGGGCAAGAGGTAACCTATGGAGTCCCTTCAAGGGTATTCATCCCTTCAAGGGAAAATATAGGGCCCGAATTCCCTCGTTCCATGCTAACCAACGGTAAGAATCAAGTACGCGAACTCAGCCCGCCCGACCATGGCCCAGCCAATCACCCACTTGGCGTCGCCCATGAAGGGCGCGCAGCACACTTTGGTCAGGATGCAGGCAACAACGCCCATGATGCTGCCTTTCCACAAGGCCTCCACCGAGAGCAGCTGGGTGATGGGGATCGAGAAGGCCACGGTGCAGGCAAAGAAGATTCGGATCATCCACGAGGTGACCCGTTTGGTTTGCCGGACCCAGACGTGATGAGCATGGTGGGGTGGGTCCAGGGTCGCGAAGGACATGCCTGCAATGAAGCAGCCCCACAAGTGGGTTCCGAGGAAGTGTGTGATGACGGCGTAGACGATCAGCAAGGCGAACATCAGGAAGAAGAGCACCTCGTCTGTCCGAGCCACCTTTGCACCCTCCTTCACGGGTACCTTGGGCAGCAACCAACCGTTGATGAACTTGGGCCAGAATGTCAGTGCCAAGATCGTGGCAAAAATCATAAGGAGAACTCCGACGACCGGGTTCACCACCACCGCAACGACATCAAACTCTCCGCCCAAGGAGAAGAGCACGTTAAAGAGGATCAAGGAAAGGATGTCGTCCACGAAGGCCGCGGTGATGATGGCCTGTCCGAAGTTCTCCTTTAAGACCCCCGCCTCGCCCAGCAGGCGCAGCGCGATGCCCACGCTGGTGGGCGCCAGGGCGGTGCCCACCGCCACGCCATGAGGGAAGAAGGGCTTCCTGGGTCTTGCTTCTCAAACCCTTGGGAGATTGCTTAAGAAATACAGGTTCCCTTAAAACGGAAACTTGAAGATAATTTTTAAGAATATAGGTTTCCTTTAGAAGGGAAAGAAGGGACGTTAAATTATAAAAATAAAAAGAAAACATCCCAAAGCACAACCCAGCTTCCCATAGGCCATGGTCAGCAGGGTCCCGGCCACCAAGGGCAAGCATGTCCCCAAGACCGCCACGATGCAGGCTCTCAGGCCCACCACCTCTAAACAGCTCTCCCATGCCAGGGGCTGTTTAGGGTTTAGGGTTTAGGGTTTAGGGTTTTCGGGTTTCGGGTTTAGGGTTTAGGGTTTAGGGTTTAGGGTTTAGGGTTTAGGGTTTAGGGTTCAGGGTTTAGGGTTTAGGGTTTAGGGTTTAGGGTTCTCATCACAGTATGATTAGAGCCCTTATGTTCTGTAGATGTTTAATTTTCATACAATTAGTAGAGTATGCTGCTATACTACAAGGGAGATCATGGGGAAAGGGTGACCGGGTGGTGTTGTGCAGGCTCCCACCTTTGCTTTCTGAAAGTCAAAGTGCATGCCGCTCTCAAAGATCATGAGCGCGACACCGGCATGGCCAATGAGGGTGAAGACGTCGGGAGTGAGTTGGCAATCATGGCTGATCTCGGCGTGGCAGCTCTTTTCAAGGCACTCCTCGTAGCTGTGGTAGCTGCCGCCCCCTGCAAGACGACGATGGTGAGGGTCCTCTTAAGGGGAATAAAGTTCTTATAAAGTAGCCCCTAAATAACCCCTGATCAACCCCTAAGACCCCTTACAAGGGTCCCTCCTTTAGTCCCTTGGTCCTCATAGTCCTCGGGATTGCAGATACCCTTTTCCTGGACGGCCTTCAGGTGATTCGTCAGCGAGGACAGGTCGTGCAGCTCGCACTCTTTGGAGTGCCTGTCGCCGAACAGATGAAAGCAAAGATAGCCCGGAAAAAAAAAATAAAAATAAAAAAACAGAAAACGCTCTGCGATCCATCTCCTTCTACAGCTTGTGGCCAGGGAGCCGGGCGTGAGAGCACTGCGAGTACTCGGTGCTGATGAGGCCGCCCACGTCAGGGCCCAAGAGCACCCCCGTCGCGATGACCAGGACGATGTCCGAGATGCCCATGGCCTGAGATACTTTGGATGCCGTCCAGGATGCACCCAAGAAGCCGGTGATGGCAAGCAGGGCAACGAATGAGCTTGCCCCTCCCATGGCTTTTGGTGCAGTTTCGGGGGGCAGCTTCACTGATCTCAGCACTTGTGACTGGCCACAATAATCTTGAGCACACGAACACACAGTCGCACAAGCTTTGCCAACACTCGTTTACATGTTCGTTAGCTTAGGCTGTTGCGGTCGATAGTTTACATTTCGCTACCAGCAACAGCGACTCGACATCATAGCGCTGAGCACAACTGAGCTGCTTCGTGCAGCTTTCATGACTGCTGAGCTTGAGACACAGCTCAGCAAGCCAAAACACCCCTCCACACTAAAAACTCAAGCCTCGTCCAGCAAGTGCAGTACTACATGGGCCCTGTGTCGAAGCAGGGGCATGTCCCAAAAGCACGAGGTACTTGGTCAATGAGAAAGCACGCAACTGCAGCAGTTGCATATGAAGTAGGGCTGAGGCTGGAATGCTGTGTAAAAACCTTGCACAAGAATGCTGAGCTTGATGCATGTGCACATCTTCCAGCATGTGGACACGTTCGGAGCCCATGGCTGCTGCATCACGCCAGTAGACATCAGTAGACTGAAGCCGCCCGAGCAGCTTCCAGCAGCCAGTCATCTTTTCTCAGCGAAGCAGTGTCCGCTTGCAGACCGTCCCTGTCATGCTACGTCGGAAGCTGTAGCAGCCACCCCTCTTCTGTACAAAATGGCAGCGTCTCGAGTACGAAGCCAGGGGAGCGTTGGCGGGGGGTGGCTCGTCCAGAGGCAACCGACCATGTTTTTGGGTGTGCCTACCATGAGCATCAACACGGGCTCTTGTCCGAGCCCTTTGTTCCTCATGTGTTGGCACCAAAGAGTTGGGAAACACCACATTAAAGCCCCCTATGCGCGGTCACGCAGCATGCCCTCAGTCCATCTTCCCAACACTTGGGCCACCTTGCCAGCGAAGGCACCCACCTGCTTGTTCTTCACGAAGTACTCCTCAAAGAACCCCCCCCAACTTGCCGGTCTCTCGGGGTTTTATGGCTCAGGGTTTCAGGGTGTTGGGATGTTTTTGGGCTTTGCAAGGTTTAAGGCCCTTTTTGAATTAAGTCTTCAGGGAAGGGCTTCTCGTTTGCTTAGGCTTAGCCCCGTGGACGGCCCCCACATGTCAGCAGATCAGCAAACTGCAGCTCACCAATGTTTGCTCGAAGGCTCGTTCGTGAGATGGCTCAGGGTCACGCAGATGCACAGGTAGAACCTCGGAAAGCAAAAGAAATGGAGTTGGGGATATGCTGCCACATCGTTGGCATCGGGGTGGTGCATCCACGAGGCGGGAAGAAGCTTGTCGACATGGGTCCTCCCCAGATCTTCTTTGCGAGCACCTGCGGCACCACTCGAAGCGTGCACCAACCCGAAGGGAGAGGCAAGCTGCCTTCTTGTAGAAGATCTGGCCAATTGGTCCATGCCTTAAGCCAGGTTGTGATTTTCCATGTGTCGTAGCTTCTCTTGTTCTGTGGTTCAGATGCTGTACATTAAAGTCATGCGGCCGGCTCACATGCTCCGAACGCGGAATACTACTGACTGGTCACAGGCTCCACTGTAAATTGCCACATTCTTGCGTGCCCACATGCTCCAGGTGAGGCAACTTCCAGCACGGCTTTGCTCTAGCAGGGATTGGGGGAGCCATTCGAAACGCAACACTTTCTGAGGCAAGCATGCTCGGCCTGCAAAGATGCTTCGGCTTGTCGAGCTATAGCGGGTTAGGGGTTGGGTGGCCCCGGGGCTCGGGGGAAGTGGAGGAGTTGGTGATTGAGGGAATGGGGTGCCATCCATGGCTGCAGTGCACGCGAATGCAGATGCGCAAGCGGCAGGGCAACCCCACCGAAAATCAGGGACCCCCAAATAGTAGGATCCCCCTTAAATAAGAACCCCAAGAAGGTACCCCTAACTTTGGAGACCACCGTAGTATCTTCCGAGGCACAGGATAAACATGGGGAAGGCAATGGAGCCGAGGGTAACCATGGGCTTGGAGCCAAAGAACTTCGTGATAGGGGCCTCAGCCGCTCCGGAAGACACGCCTCATCCGTATGATTGTTACTACTATGATTGTTTATGATTGATTCGCCTCGGCTTCCTGCCGAGAAGCGTCTGGAACAAGCAGACCCGGATCGGGGCCCCCTCCCCCCCCCTCCCCCCCTCCCCCCCCCCTCCCCTCCCCTCCCCCCTCCCCCCTCCCCCTCACCCCCACCCCCGCCCCCCTCCCCCCACCCCCCTCCAACCCCCGCCCCCCACCCCCCCCCCTTTAACCCCGCTGCCCTTCCTCCTCTTTTTTTGCGAACCCTCTTTCCTCCTTTCCTGTCCTGGGGCAGGCCCGGCTGCCGAGGCGGCGCGCGCAAGCGTTTACAATTATGATTTTATTTATTTTGATTTTCTTAATATTACTACTATGATTCTTGTTAGTATTATCCACTGGGCGCGTCGAGTTGTTGAGCTGAGCAACCGGATCGGCACTCAGAGCATCCCGATGCATTTGCGTCAAGAACTTCGTGAAGAGCGGCACGAAGAGGACCCCTCGGATGATGGCATCCTCGGACACGGCAGCGGATGGCATGGCTGATGGCAGCTCTATATGGGTGGCTGTCAAAATTATGGTCCCTTTTTGGATCCCTATTCTAATACGGCACCTAATATTTAGGGTACCCCAAAAAGGGATCATAATTTTGACAACCACCCATATATCAGGCAAGCACCCTTGAGCCCTAGATGTCTCAGGAGCCTCTGGGGCTCACACGTTGAAGTCAAAACGAGTCAGCCGCAGCCCCAGCGAAGCGTAGGCCGCCAGGAAAAGCCACAGGGGATTCCTCGCCAAGCTCTCAGATTATAAGGGGCATAAGGAGGGAGCCTCTAGAAGGGACGCTTCATCTTATTCCCCTTTGTCACCCCCTATATATACCTTATATGTAGTCCCCATATACCTAAATAGCCCCTAAATGACCCCTAAAGAACCCCTAAGGTCCCTTATAGAGGTCCCTCCTTTAGTCCCTTGATCAGAGCTTATGCGACGCAGGACTCACCGGGTATCTATGCTCACCTTTGTGTAGGCCCTGTGTTGGAGAACCGAAACTCAGGATGTCTGCGAAACGCACCAAAAAATCTGTGTGATATTCTGTCCAGCCACGTTGGCTTCTTCTTCTTGTCCTCCTCCGTGTCCAGCATCACGTGCCTGGCCGCCACGATGCCCATCGTCATCTCGATCAGGGCCCAGAAAGGGTGGAAGCGGGTCAAGTTCCAGATCCTCCATGGGCCGTGGCCATACGCGATACGCGGCATAAGGGGGGGGGGGGGGCAAGCTCTGCACTACCCTCGAACGACTTTAAGCAACTGTGCCCCGCACAGAGGGTGTGTGGCCTGGCCGTTGACCTCAGGCTGCAGGAAGTTTGGATCGCGAGGCCAACGAAGCGTGTAATGGTACGCAGAATTGTACGCAGCGTTACTGTAGGAAAGCAGAGGCTGTCCAAGCCCAGCCGCCGGGTGCTCCTTGCTGCTGTGGAAGCGGGCGGTCTCCGAGTAAGAGACCTGCGCGCAAGCTCGATCAAGCCCTGCTTGGAGGTTCAGGGTACTTATTAACCAATTATAGCTGTACTTATAACTGTACTTCTGTTAATAAGTACCATGAACCTCCAAGTGGAGTATCCTAGACTCCCGGCCTTCTGCAGGAGAGAGATGCCCGTCAAGGCGGCAAAGAGCTTCTGAAGGCCTTCAGACCATCCGGCATTCGGTAAACCCTAAACCCTAAA